TATGTATGTATGTATATATGTATGGAGTATGTATGTGTGTATGTATGTATGTATGTATGTATGTATGTATGTATGTATGTATGTAGGTATATATAAAGTAGGTAGGTCGAATGCATATGTACATATATATATATATATGTCTCTGTTTAAAACATATAACTGAGGCACTGACTTGCATGTTTACATTTTTGCGCATGTATGTGCATGCAAGTAAGTATAGTTGAAGTAATGTGTGTATGTATGTTGAGATCATTTATATGTATGTACATATATGTATGTATGCATGCATGCACGTATATCCGTATGTATGTGCGTATATCATGCATGCATGTCTGCACGTACGTCTGTCTCACAGGGGCTTGCAGTTGGCAGAGCCGCTCACCCGTGGCCTTTGTTAGGATGGTATAGGGGTTGATAGTTATGATTTTGACAGTTATATCCAAAGCTAAATTAATAAGTGGGGTTTAGGGTTTAGGGTTTTGGGGTTCAGGGGTCTAGGGTTTAGGGTTTTGGGGTTTAGGGTTTAGGGTTTATAATGATCCCAATTGATTGCAACACATCGCTCCATTCGAATGATGACGGTGATTTGGACCCCATGCTGAATACACCTGTAAACCCAATTAGCGGACCCCACTGAATTCCTAAAGCCCATAAATACTTATCATGCCCTCAACCCTAAACCCTAAACCCTATAAACCATAAACCCTAAACCCATAATAAACTATATGAATTAAATCGACCATCCAAGGCACGGTGTCTGACCTCTGCGGCCAATTCTTCGGCTTCGAAGATGCTGGCTCCTGCACAGAGGCAAGATATTTTTATAACCTAATTTGGATCATATGTACATGAATCTTACGGGCCTCTTGAGCAGCAGCTGGGGATGTGCTTCGGCGACGCTTGCCACTGCAAGGGGTTCTCGACTTGGGAGTCCCGGGCTTCACTGGTGCCTTGTCTTTGGGAGTCCTGCTGTTTGTCTCTTCTGGTGCCTTCGCTTTGGGAGTCCCTGCTGCTGGTGCCTTGTCTTTGGGAGTCCTGCTGCGTGGCTCCTCTTCTGGTGCGTCTTTTTGGGGAGTCCTGCTTGGCTTCTCTTCTGGTGTCTTCTCTTTGGGAGTCCTGCTTGGCTTCTGTTCTGGTGTCTTGTCTGCTTTGGGAGTCCTGCTCGGCTTCTCTTCGGGTGTCTTGTCTTTGGGAGTCCTGCTTGGCTTCTCTGCTGTCTTGTGCTCAGGAGTCCTGCTGCGTGGCTTCTCTTCAGGTGTCTCGTTCTGAGTCATGGTTGGCTTCGCTTCTGGTGTCTTGTCTTTGGGAGTCCTGCTTGATCTGCGCTTTCGACGGCTGCTCTTGGGGGTGCTTTGCCGCGACGTGGCCACGGGGCTAGTTGTCATAGTAGCTGGCACATCAGCCTCTGAAGCCGCACCCCCCTGAACATCAGCAACTCCAGCACTGGGAACACCAGGGCTCCGGTGTTCCGTCTTGCACACAGATGCACGCGCTTTCGGGGTTGCAGCTTCATGCTTGACTGGAGCGGGTTTGCTTTTCGGGACTGCATCTGCCTCCTTTGCTGTGTTGGGGTCTTCTTGAGCCTTCTCGTCCTCGAACTCCGTCCCTTTCAAAGCCCTCTTCTTCAATTCTTCGACGCCACAAAGAATGCTATTCATTCTTTCTGCGACAGGCATTGTGCTGGGCTTCATGGCCATGGATGATGACGTCATCTTGTGAATCTAGTCTAGTGTGTGGTGTGCACATATATACTGTACTATATACCTGCTCAGATCTTTGCAACTCACACAAGGGCCCATGGCTTGAACATCAGTGAAAACTGCATCGCGGCACCATCCACACCTCTGACCCCCAGCTCACTCAATCCCTTCCCCAAGAGTCACGCGAGAGTCACGCGAGAGTCACGCCAGAATCACGGTCCCCCAGTACTACTGGTATACTACCTATAGGGACAGTCACGCAAGAGTCACGCTAGAGTCACGCTAAAGTCACGCTACCCCGGGCTCCCGAAAGATACTCCAAAAAGGATAGGAAATTAACCCTTGGATGTACCTGCAACGACTGGAAAACCTTTATATACAGATCGCCCCACAGACAAAACCCACGTGTTTCAGGGATGCTTCCGCTGGCGACTGCGGCTCGATTTGCAGAGGAGTCTCGACAGCAGCTGAGACATTTAAATTGGATGCAGCCACCATGCTTTGACATGAATTGGAAGCCTGTGCACCCGAAGCGTGCGATTGCCTCTAGAGAAGCAGGCTCTGAATTATTCGGGGTTGCACGAACCGTTTAATTAGTATTACGTACTACAGGAGTTCGGATCTGCTGAGTGGTTCTTGGCTAGAGTCCGCTAGCTAGCAGCTACAGAGGATACATCATTGTAGAGGCAACAGTGGTTCGTACCGCCCAGCTGCTTGTTCGGCCCTGAGGAATTGCAGGATTTCTTCCATGGCGGCGTGCCGCCAATCAAGTGGCGGTGCAACCTGGGCAAAAGTAGGATCCAGTAATTATTATAATGTAACTACGATATACCCAAAGCCGACACTCGACACCGTAAAGCCCACACACACACATCCCAACTTTTTGTAATATCCCATCCCCAGAACTAGAATTATAATAATTATCCCAAACCCCAAAGCCAACAGCAACGAGACAGGATCGGAGGGTTTGTACTTGCAGCTTTGGGGCTTTCGGGTTTCCGGGTCCATCGCATGTTCAAGGGTCCCACGGAGAAGTTTATGAAACTACGTAGTTTATATGTTTTTAAAATTTGGGCTTGTTATAATTCAGGGTTTGGGGTTTGGGGTTTATGGGGATAGTATTCAAATTAGAATGCGCAATATCATGATATTGCATACATATAGATAGATAGATAGATAGATAGATAGATAGGTAGATAGATAGATAGGTATATAAATATATAAATATATATTTGTAATAATATATAATATATAGTAATACAATATAATATAATATAATTATAATATA